AGAAATAATCAAAATAAATTCGCTGATCTTATCTTGTGGGTACTGTAGTGATTATCTCGTTTACCATTGTGAGACAGAAGTAGTCCTGGTGTGTCATCGGAGCATGTCTTTTGAAATATGTCCAAAGTTGGCAAACTTCCTCCACTAAAAACCAAGCACGCGTAGATTACTTGCAACCGTGATTATAACATCACATTAAATGTTATTGAAACCTCATAGGTAGCATTCCCCAGACCATATTAAGAAACCACGATATGAGTCAAGGCGTTAACTCTGCTCTGTCTGGGTTCATGTCCCCGTCGACCTGGAACTTCCTAAATACCTGACATACCACCTGACGGCGCAGTCACCCGAGCCGACTGGCAACGTGCCATGCAGAAAGATGCTGTGCCACAGACCAAACGGTTACGTCGGATTCCATGCCTGGTCTCTAGGCAACTCTTGCACGAGTTTCGCCAATTTGCATACACATTGCATCACATGCGGGCTGGTAGTTACCAGCTCGACGGACCTGGCGCCTCCTAGAGCGCGTGCTGGGCTGTCATTTTCGGGCGTAGGTCTCGGGCACGGAGAGTCGGCGGGCGGCAACTGGAATTCATATCAGGGAAGGGACCGGTCGATGGGTTCACGGTGACCCGGGCGGCTGATTCAGGGGAGGCCGATGGAGTCACCGAGACCCAAGCACATCGCTACCCCAGTTAACTCAGCTAGGACACATATCCCTCTTAACATTCCACTTTGGTTACCTTCGGTGAGGTGTTCAGAAATTATCCCCTCTCCAGATTCAATGCCGGGTCCGTCTTTGAAGCCATCAATAATTTGCATCCACCTACTTCAGGGACCAAAAGAAGGCGGCTTCAAAACTTGCCTTCTCACATAGCACACGGATAAAAGCCTATTCGTGTCCGAAGGTTATTCACACATCGAATGGACTGTTGTCAGCGATTGTCTTGAGTCCATCAGCACCCAATTTGCAGACTTTTATAGGCTTTAAATTACGCACAAACCGGTAAGGTTGAAGTCGGTACTAGGCTCCAATTGTCACGGTTAATTTAATTGCGGCCTTGGGTACCAATTTACATACTAAACATCGTTACGAACTGCGGCGTAATTTTGAGTGATCGCCTGAAGGTCATGCCCGATAGCCATAACGTCCAAGGTCCATTGCCTCTCACCCTTTGCGTCACTGCCAGCTTACGCTCCTCGATCACACTCCAGACCATGCATACCCTGACCCTGGATCTGACTCCAGACCCTGTGTCAATGGGAATGAGCACGCTGCGCTTGCTTTCAGAGCGGTCTCCCTTCCCAACCACGCCCACGCCCCGCTTATTTACTGCGTCTACCCGCTCAGGCCACCCAGCTGGGTAGCGACGCTCCGGAGCCCCGAGAGGTCACCGTGTGACCCAATGTCTTGCCATAGATCTAACGGGGTGCACCAAACCCACCACTCTTTCATTTGGACATTGGTGTGGATATTTGTTCTCTGTGACGGACCAAACGGTTACGGTTGGTTAGAGCGCATGTGCTCTGACCCATCCGCCCGTCGCGGGGTGAATTCGAGCCGCTTTTGATACCTGCTATTTTCCCTTGTCATGTCGCAGCATCCGTCTAAAATTCAGGTGACGTCAAAGTGCAAGAAAGATCGTGCCGACCCTTTCGGCCTGTTCAACTGTCGCCACCAAATTCTGCCATTGTCCTAGAATTGCGCGATCAGATGATGGAGGTCGGGGCTTACATAGCAAGCGCTGCTTATCGGGAGCTCTGATCCCAAACATCCATCCATTTAAAACGTTCGGCTTAAATCTTGAAAACAAATTGCAGTTATAAACGCTGTTCAAATGCAATGTTTGATATTTGAAGATATTGAACCAAGCATGAGATATGATGAAATTGGGCTACCTATGACCTTCAATAGGTTGCCTGATATGCCTTAAACTAGGAAAATCTGCTGTAGACCACACAATTTCTCTATTTAGTAAATATGCTCCTCAATACCTCGTTGTTGGATTACATCATGGAATGTTTGTATGACCTTGAGGTGATGCCAAATTAGCCGTGCGAAATTGCCACCCAAGCACTCACATGTTGTGCTTTCCATTCGCCGAGGGATGGCAGTGGCGATGCTGGAAGTGTTCGCTGAGCCAAATGTAGTTATGTGCTCGTGTTTTAGCCAATTTTCGTGGTGTTCTTAAAACCATAGAGCCATAAAGACATCTGGCCAATAAAGAGCCACCAGCACCGATCACAGTTGGCCTACCTCAGGTTCCGCACACATCTTCGAAACTGATGTTACCATCTGGCCTGCCTAAATGTAGCTATAAATGAGATCCTTAGACCGATACATCTTGTTCAAACGATTTTTAAATGTTGCTAGAGATCGGCCTCCTACAATTTTGTTTGAGAGTCCATTCAAATGATTCACTACTCTTTTGACTAAATGACACCTGCCTCCTGATAGTCCTACTCTCACCTATTGTTAAATAAAACTGATTTCCTCAAGTCTCGGCCTAATTTCCAGAACTCCATGTAGATGTACCTTCTCTGTCGCTTTGATAACCTTGAATACTTTACCAGATCCCCTCTAGGTTTACGATATTTCAGTGAATACAAATCCACGTCTCTATGCCTATCCTCGTGTTCTAAGTCGTCAATCCAACTTGTGATTCTAGTTACTTTTCGCTTCACTATTTCTAATTTGATTATGTCTTTTTGGAGGCATTGTGACCAAGCTCGTACACAAACTCTACGGGTGATCTGGCATAAGCAAAGTAAAACTTTTTATTCATGTGACAACATTCCTTCTCTTGTAATGGATATTCCTGTTATTAAGTCCAAGCACCTGAAGTACCTAGCTCCTAACGGCTCTACTTTGATTTTCAGCCTTGCATACGTGGAAAGTACAAAGCCCAAGTCCTTATCTTCCTCACTCTGGTCTAACTCCTGGCCTCCCATTCCATTGCAAATGCGCTCACTGCCGGAACTACCCAAATGCATCACCTTACACTTGTCATAATTTTATATCTGCCACAGAGAAGTCCAGTCCAAAAGCTTCTCTAAGACAAGTGTAATTTGGTTCATCTGGTCGGTATTTCCTGACACCCCAACCAATTTAATATCGCCACCAAATTTCAGCACCTTATTCTCTAATCCTAACTCAATATCATTCACAAAAGATAAAGAGCGAAGGGCACGACACCGACCCCTGTGGAACCCCACTTACTACTAGCTCCCACTGAGATTTGGTGCCAATTAGCATTACTTGTTGTTTCCTGTCTGGCGGCCAAGCCCTTAACCAGCCAATATTTTTTCCCTTAATGCCATGCAATTTTAACTGGTATAGCAGGCGCGGGTGTGGCGCCTTATCAAACGCTTTACTAGAATGCAGATAAACAACAGCCAAACTTTCCCCATTATCTATCTGACTAGTGACATACTCCATGAACTCTATACGATTTGTCAAGCAGGCCCTACCAGAAGGAAAACCATGCTGACGACTTTTTGTCAACTGGTGCCTATCTAAATGTGATCGAATGCTAGCCTTAATGAATTGTTCTGGGATCTTGCATACTAGTTAGGCTAGACAGACATGCCTGCAGTTGCTCACATTTTTTGGTTCCTCCTTATCCCGGCATTGACCGGGAGGGGGGGGGGGGCGGGTTAAAAACTGAAATGTGGACATTTCTTTTAAGGAAGCAAAGATCCCTGACCCTTTGGAGACTCTGGGAAACATGATAGTTCCCGGGGTTACATACATGCAGGAACAAGATCATCATTCCACGCTGGGCATGGGAGGAAATGACTGGCATACAACATATGGTTTAGGGATGTACTTTCGCGAAACAAGCTGGGAGACGGCTGATTAACTAACAATGGTCACACTTTCCTCAAAGTACATAACACGAGATTTCCCCTGGATTTAGCCCACTTTCATCTCAAAATTGTGGGAGGGCCGATAGCCCCTACCCCCGGCTAAATAGAAAACTGTACCCGCGACGTCCAAAATGCTCGTAAGAGAATTTCCCAGACTTGTGTGTACCTCAGAATGCATTACATGCTTGGACAACATATAGGCACATGCCATCCCCTGTGTAACTGAACCTTGGCAAAGTATGACTTAGTGATCTTTACGGTAGCCTGTCACCTTGACGTCCAGTGAGTTAGTCCTTTGGAAAGCTCTTTAAATCAGTATGCTTACGAAAATTAGATACTGACATCTCGTGACCATTCTCCTAGAAGTGCCAAAATTACAATAAGAACATGTAGATATGACGATGATCCCAAATGAAATCTGCACAAGATTCGACCATTGTGTTAAGAATCATATTTTGGTTGACTGAAACGGTATATTGAGAGGGCACGCAATCTTGTTTTTGGACCTTACACACATTATTTTAAGGGATGCAGAGGCTTAGTACAGTTTGAAAAACATCACCACAAAAGTCCAGGTAGCAGACCCGCCAGATCATCGCACAAATATGACGGCCGTGCCCATGGTGAGCCTGAGATAGGACTAGGGTACACATGCAGGAAAAACCGAAGCACTTTGAAACGGTGTTGTTGCATCCAGAACCTTCCGAAGGTGCGTGTTCTCGGCTGACAACCTATATGAGTATCTCATTGCTCAGTGAAGAAGTCGCATGTTCCCTTCAAGACGCCTGATAACTTTTATTACCGGTCAAATGGGTCTTAAGGGAGAATGACAGGCAATCAAGGTTCTCTCACACTTTCTCTGGGCCTTGTGTCAGGTTTTTCAATGGGGGGCTTTTAAGAAAAAGTTTCCTGGCTGTTTCTGGGTGCGATCTGTTGCTCACTGCTGGGTCACGAGGTCCGGTCTGCTACTCACTGCCGGGTCGGGGTGCCGTCTGTTACTCACAGCTAGGTCAGGTGGAACTCGCTCTGGACACATTCCAAGAGTAAGACACTCAGAGTGCTCATTTGGTGATCAATGCAGATTCAGATTCCACCTTTGCCCAAAGTGAGACTCGAAGCATACTGCCATGCCTGATCCGGACTCCAAGTGTGACTCCGGCTAAACTTTCTTCGCGTCCAGTTCCACCTCGCTGCTAGGTCAGGTGGAACTCGCTCTGGGCACATTCCAAGAGTATGACACTCAGCGTTCTCATTTGGTGATCAGTGGAGGTTCAGACGCGACCTTTGCCCAAAATGAGACTCGAAGCATACTACCATGCCTGACCCGGACTCCAAGTGTGACTCAGAAGGACCCAGACGCGATGACTCGCACCGCATCCTTGCATGTTTGCTCCAGAGTGAGACCTGACTGGCTGTGGACCGGTCGCTGAATAGCTAAGCTCACGAGGACTGCGCCTTGACGCCGCCTGTTCGAATTTAGTAATTGCAACCGTCGTCTACCCTGTTATGAATTCGGCGCTAATCAGATCTGCAATGCGTCAAAGGCGCGCCGTTCGCCGGCGTTAACACCCTGGTCGATAGGCGGAGAGGCGGCTACTACGGAGACTGGCTCCATCAAGTCCAGACGACGCGAGCAGCGGCGCGCTCGGATCCGACCACGCGGGTCTGCGACCCGGCGCGCTCGGATGCGGCCACGCGGGTATGCGACCAGGCGTGCTCGGATCCGACCACGCGGCTGTCCTACCCGGCGTGCTCGGATGCGGCCACGCGGGTATGCGACCAGGCGCGCTCGGATGCGGCCACGCGGGTATGCGACCAGGCGCGCTCGGATCCGACCACGCGGTTGTCCTACCCGGCGTGCTCGGATGCGGCCACGCGGGTATGCGACCCGGCGCCCTCGGATCCGACCACGCGGGTAGGAGACCCGGTGCGTTCGGATGCGGCCACGCGGGTGTCCTACCCGGCGTGCTCGGATCCGGCCACGCGGGTATGCGACCAGGCGCGCTCGGATGCGGCCACGCGGGTGTCCTACCCGGCGTGCTCGGATGCGGCCACGCGGGTATGCGACCAGGCGCGCTCGAATCCGACCACGCAGGTATCCTACCCGGCGTGCTCGGATCCGGCCACGCGGGTATGCGACCAGGCACGCTCGGATCCTACCACGCGGGTATGCGACCAGGCGCGCTCGGATGCGGCCACGCCGGTATGCGACCAGGCGCGCTCGGATCCGACCACGCTGGTATGCGACCAGGCGCGCTCGGATCCGACCACGCGGGTATGCGACCAGGCGCGCTCGGATCGGATCACGCGGGTATGCCGCCAGGCGGGCTCAGATCCGACCACTCGGGTATGCGACCAGGCGCGCTCGGATGCGGCCACGCGGGTGCGCGGTCCGGTGCGCTGTGTACGCACTGGGTGCGGTGTGTTGGGGCTGACAGCGGCACGGTGTTGAAGAAAAGGTGGCGCTGGATGAGAGGATGGAGGATTTTCGTTGTGGGAAACCTGGTAGTCACTTGGTGTCGCGATGTTTGTGAATTTTATAGACATCGGCATTGACACCTACAATAATTTATAGAAATCATTTTAGATGCCGCGTGCGTGTTGCCTCGCAACACTGAATGAAGCGCCGGTGACTGCACTGGTCATATGAATGACTGGTGGCTGTTGCACCAGCCGGGAATCAAACCTGGGCTACCACGTGAAGACCCAACGCGCACCGAACGCCGTTTTTTGTCCCGAGGGTGCCGGTTTCACGAACATTTCCGGAGCGCTTTTAATAGGGCGAAATTATTTCAGTGGAGCCGTCTCTAATAGCTGATTTTCTTTTAGAGGCACGACTTACTGAACAGTCAATCATTACACATATGTAAAACAAATGTGGAAAAAAGAAGATAGCGACACTGAACGTAGCAAACATTGGCACCTTTCACTACTTGCCAGCCATTTGCGCTTTCCTGTCCGTGCGCTACGACTTCATGTGGATATCCTCAGTGGGACAGATCATGAGATCGTTGTCACATCCGAAGTCGACGCTCTGTCTCTCTCCTAACTGTCCGTATCATAGGTAATCCACTTGGGTGCGCCTTCCCCTAACACGCGCTTGAGTGGGGTGGGTGGGCTTGTAATTTGGTCTTTTCCTAAACCTTCCCTCATAGCAAGGCGTTAATGGCGATGTACAGACGAGCATCGACCAACACCAGGCCGCGTTGTCGTCGTTTACCGATTTGAAGAGCATTCATGGGTGTGGATGACGTCTTATTGCTGTCGGTATTTGTTTTTTATTACAAAACATCTTTTATGTTACATTCTCACTTGAGTACCACGTCATTAGGCATGGAACGCCTATAGATGTCTGAATCGATCAATATAGCTGAGGACTATTTATCAGCCTAATGACTAGAGACAAAACTCCACATAGTTATTTGTGATAGGAGCTTAAATGCGCCCGCACATCCATTTTTACGAAAAAGGTCTCACAATCCTCTTGACGACCAAGTGCACAAGTGCTTATAAATGCTAGCAGTCCCTTGCATCTTTCAATTCGATTTACAAAATTTAAAAGCATTTAAGCACGAAAACCTTTGCACACATTCCGTTGTGCCACACAAGGTATTTGCGCTGAAATCGATCAAGAAAGTTGTTGTAAATGAAGCATTCGTAACAACTCGGTTCGTGGAACCATTCAAACAAACACCGCTACCAATTTCATTAGCTGTTTTGAGATTGCAATATATTTTAGATTCCACGCTTTCGTCATATCAACAAAAACGACCGGGCAAGTCACTGCTCCCGAACTACATAATCATTGGTGCCCATTTTGAGTGACATATTTTTCTACACTGTCCTAATCTAAGCTCAATCTTGATTATTCTAACCCAATGCTTTTGTAACGAAAAACATTACCGACACCAATAAGACGTCATCCAACACCCACGAAACTTGTACCAACAGGCGAGCGATGGCAACGCCATGTGATATTGGTCGATGCTCGTCCGTACATCGCCATAAACGTCTTACCGCGAGGGAGGGGTTTAGGGATGGGCAAATAAAGGGCTACGCTCTTTTTTGGATCTTGTCCAAAGTAGTCTGGGTAGAATATAAAACAAACATGGTCAGTAGACATCAGAATGTCATAACTTACAGTTTAAAACACACAATGAGTACTAACAAACGACCTCTCGATCATGAACTATTTCGAAAAGAGCAAACAAGGCCTTATACTCTCGTTAATGCGTGCTTGAGTGGGCTAATTTGCCATCCAAAAGTTTTGTAAAAAAAAACTTCCGAACATTGCGTGGTAGCCGCGTTGCTCTAGTTCAAGCCGTAGAGAATTAAATAACTAATCATCTGGTATAACAATAATGCATACCGTGTCAAGTTACTGATCTGTGGCAGGTTAAACTCAGGTCATAGCTGTCTGAGAAATAATTCCTGGGAAATCATTCAAATAATATAACCATAACACCCACCCACAAGCCTGTCGCGTAGGTCATTGACCCAAAAGGGACACAGTGTAGGAACCTCAATATATGGAAAAGAAGTTCACATGAACCTACATCACAAATCTGCTGTCTCTGGCACCCTAATTTTTTAAATCTCAGGCAAGACAAATTGACCTCCACTCACGACTGCCTCACATTCAACCGGCCACTCGGGCACCTGTTAAATGGTGTGACATTACTTGTGCTAAAAAATTGTTGCGTTCTTACTTTCTTTCATAACAAACCATGCTAGATGAATACAATTAGCGTCAATTTGCGCTTGTGAATGGTCTGCGCAGCCTTTTCTTTGATGCGCGCACTTTTATATTCCTCCGCACGCTTTCACTTGAACAAATTGGAGGGACTGGCGCAGCGAAAACACGGTCCATTACCGTGCCCGCGAGCTCTTCCGGCGCGGTGGCACGTGCACGTCAGGTCCCCCGAGAGCTGCAAGATAGACTGGAGACTAGGCTGCACACTCTGAGAACTAGGCTGCAGGCTGTGGGAACTGGACCGCAGGCTGTGAAGGCTGTGCAGAAACTATGAAAGCGGGCCTGAGGGCTGTCAGAACCTGGCGGCAGACTGTGAGAGCTTAGCTGCCTACTATGAAAGGCAAGCTGCGGCTTGCAAAAGCTGGTGAGTTTGACAGAGCTGGGGTGCCGGGCGTCAGAGCTGGACCGCAGGCTGTGAAGGCTGTGCAGAAACTATGAAAACGGGGCTGTGAGCTATGAGAACTTGGCAGAAGACTGTGAGAACTTAGCTGCCCACTTCGAAAGACAAGCTGCGGGTTGCAAAAATTGGCGGGTTTGACAGAGGTGGGGTGCCGGCCGTGGGAGCTGCACTGCCGATTGTGTGAGCGCAGGGAACAGCTGCCGGGCAGATCACAAGAAGTGAACCACGGACATTGCCGGCCTGTCAAATGGAAACCTGCTCTTTGATCTCTTGAATCTGCATGAGGTGGTGTTTTTGTATACGGGTATCTGTGCGATAAATATACAATATGCCTGCCATATATGAATATGCTTCGTGGGTGGATCTGAACCGCTTAGGTCATGCCAGCTCACAATGAGAGACCGTGGTAACTTTCCCTGGTTTCAAAAAAGATGTCCTTTCCCACGAGGTCACCTTCTTTCAGAATGTTCCCGGAAAAATTTAAGTGGTCTTAGAGAACCCTCACACGGCACATTCTTGACGTCCGTGAGTGCCTAGCTGAAACCCCTCCGAAAAAATGTTCGGCAACCCATCCTGGGTGCCTGAGAACTTTGCCAATACCTTTCAATGGGATGTTAAGGAAACCATTTTGGTTTCATATATACTGAGGGTTCTCATCTGAGAACCATACACTGTCTGCTGTGCTCCTGTAGAGGTTCACAGGATCCATACGCATACACATGAAAGATTGTCATACAATCGTGGGAGGCACACGCGATCGCCAGCTTTGCAAGATTGCAGACAATTAAATGAGATATGGACACCAAAACGAGTGTATTTTCGGGATATACTAAATTCCTCTCAATTTGAAATTGCAAGAACACAAAGCATTGTCAAACAGTCAACACTGACGGGCAAGACACTACTGCGGGGTTTAAATAATGACGTAGTCATAACCGGCGCACACACACTGTCATGACCGGAGAGTAAAGCAACGTCGTCTTTGAATTCAGGTCGATGTTGACCCCAGTAGGGACATTCCAGAATAGCACAACGTGGCACAGAGTTAGCCAATATAACACAGCGTAAACATCTGAAAACACATGCGAGCGTTGACCTTGGCACTTGGTGCCAAGATCAACCTGCGGTCAACCTGCGGTCCGTAGAGCACTAATCAGGGGGCAAACTGGGATGCGGGCTGGGGACTGGGATGCAATCGCGACCGCTGTGGGGGCCGCGTTGCTGTGTAATCACATCGGTATACAAAACAATGTGATCTCGGTAAGCACGACCAGCGGGGAAATCACTGCTCCGTTTTTCTCACGGACGGCCGTCAAAGTATTCGCGTAATCATGACCGACAGGTAGAGCGCTGCTGCGTGAGCAAGACCTGCGGGCACAGCACTTCCGTCCTTATTTATCACAAGCGAGCAGAATGCTCACGCAGCAGTCTCCTGCCCGCGCCCATCGCACCTCAGCCGCGCCAGTGATTCCTCAGCATCGCCCGTGACGCCACAGCTACGCCGGTGGCACTTCAGCCACACCGGTGGCACCTCAGTGTCGCCGATGACGCCTCAGCCGTTTCCTGTGGCACATCAGCCTCGCCGGTGACGCCTCAGCCGTTTCCTGTGGCACCTCAGCCTCGCCGGTGACGCCTCAGCCGTTTCCTGTGGCACCTCAGCCTCGCCGGTGACGCCTCAGCCAAGCCTGTGGCACCTCAGCCTCGCCAGTGACGCCTCAGCCAAGCCTGTGGCACCTCAGCCTCGCCGGTGACGCCTCAGTTACGCCAGTGGCACTTCAGCCACACCGATGTCTCCTCAGCCTCGCCGGTGACGCCTCAGCCGCGCCAGTGACACCTCAACTGGGACAGTAGCTCCTCAGCCGTGTCGATGACACCTCAGCCTCGCCGGTGACGCCTCAACCGCGCCAGTGACACCTCAACCGGGACAGTAGCACCTCAGCCGTGTCAATGACACCTCAGCCGTGCTGATGACACCTCAGCCGGGACAGTAGCACCTCAGCCGTGTCGATGACGCCTCAGCCACGCCGGTGACGCCGCCGCCTTGCCGGTGACGCCTCAGTTGCGCAGGTGGCACCCCAACTGCACCTTAACACTCTCACCCGCCGCCACCACACACGCTCGCGCGCACCGTAGTACCGATGACTACAAGGGTAGTGACGCCGGCGCATCTGCCGAAGACGAGGCGTTCCCGAGCGGCAGTGGCGGCGGCGGCGCGTTCGTGGGATGGCCTCAGCTGGAGATGTCTGTCTGCCAGTGTAAGTCGTGCGTTTTGTGCGAATAACGTGCCAGGTGGACCACAGCAGAACTGTAGAAACTAGGCTGTCGCAGCAGACGACACCATCACTGAGGACTTGGTGTCCATCTGAGGAGAAAGCCATTGATGTTGGAGACTGCGGGTGAATTGTCAGGCAATAATTTATAGAATAATTACAACGGTATACCTTGATAAAACTAGAAGAACAAAATAAACTTACTGTCGTGCGTCGTATCCGAAGGTGAAATATAGGGATCTCCTACTCTATCCTACTCTGGTCTAGGATCTCCACCCAATGTTCGGAATGGTATTGAACATTAACGCTTTGATATTTTGCAAGCCAAACTCTTTGTGAATCGTTCATGAAGTTTTATGGAGAATAGCTTTTGACATTTGACGCACGCATCTTGGTAACCCAAAAATGGAGCATACAACCTTAGGAAATATACAAGCCCCCCAAGATCTAATGACGAAGTGGCTTAAATGTGGTGCAAAATATGATATGCGTAGGACAGGTGGCATCCATAACTGCTCGAACCTCATGAAATGATCATGCACGTATGCATAATATCATTAAAACCTTCTATTCACCGCTAATGTTGCTGTCGAGGATAATTTTGCTACTGGCTACTACAAGCATCATGCATGTTGTAGCAGGAGGAGGAACACGTCACAGATGCAGAAGAAGGGAAAGCCTCAATCCGGAAAATAGTAATATCAAACGTACGGTGCGTACATAAAACAATAAACGGGAATTAGCTCTACCCCTTTCTCCTCCAGCCCTAAACATCTTACTTTCCTAAGTAGACGAAAAATGTCAATCTGTTTTGCACCTTGGGAACAATATTATATTAGATGTACCAAAGAAAAAGAATTCAGGAAGTCGATGGTGAATGTGGACAGCTAAATGTATTCAGTTTGGAATATGCACTACTTTATTCAAGGTATGTTTAATGACATGCACCATCTGTAAAGTTTGGTTGATATGTCTTGAATGCTCCGGCCACAGATTATTTGACATCCACGATTGAATTGGCACATACCCAACTTGAACGATTAATGTCTTCTTTCTAAGATGCAGGAGGGACAAACTGTTCACATTGCGTATTTCATCACGTGGAACAATCATTAATGCACTTAATATAACTTGACATCAGAGCTTGACAACTCAAATTGCTGTCATATGCCACACACAAAGAACCCTATTTTATTAGATTTACCCAATTAACTGCGGTGCAACTGTGAAGCCTGACAGGTAAAGCTCTGACGTACCAAATGGTGTCTTGCATGCAGACATTTTGGATATGGGAAACTGTATAATACTGCGCTGATCACACAGTTGTGTGTACTAATATGACGTCTACTTATTGATGTTAGGTCTCTGTAAAGCAGTGCAGTATGCACACTGAACATGCATCTTGGTTTCTGTTGAAAAGCACACCAAAAATGAGCTGTCAAATTTGGTTCGCAGTATATGATTTGTGAAGTATTAACAAAATACACTGAATGAGTATATCACAGAAAATGAGCACGTGTACAAGGTTAGTTTGCCGAGGAAAGCTCACAAATTTACATGAGCTCAGCAGAGAGCTTTAGAACACGCATGCACGCGACCGCCGAAGTTTGAATGCATATCACACTTATACATGCTATACAGGTGTGGTTCACAGAAAGATAATTATAATGCTGATTTATGTTTCGTGTAACACCAGTGTCAGCATTTTTAATCGGAGCAAAGCGTTGTGTTGTTTATTGGCATTTCAGGGTGCCATCTGCAATGGTAATTGAAAATATAGGTAAGCAAGAGCTTGGAATGCTTGAAATGACAATGCAGGTGCAGCAATTAATTGAACCAAATGTTTGTTATTGCTGGATTATTAGTAAGCAGCCACAAATTTACACAAATATCAGGAGGATTTTTACAATTGTAGCCAAGCTTTCTATGACATGAGGTGAGAATGCGATTACGGTTTCCTTTTAATATCCACCATTGGTGCAGTGCAGTTCTTTGACAGAAACCTTTGCTTCAATAATTGGTGCTTACGTATCCTAATTCTAATAAGGTTTATATCAGCAATTGAACGGAAGAGATCTATGTCAAGCATGAAGTACCCACAGAGTTTATCTTGAACCAATGGAGCCTAGGCAACATACAGCACTCTGATCAATGACTGAAGGGAAATACTATACCCTTCATCATGATGCGTGATACCTCTTCTTGCCGTTAACACGCGCCCGGGCGGCCGATTGGATACCCTTCGCTCGGGTGGGGGTCAATTTGACCTCCCTGAGATCTCAGAAACTAAGAGAGCTAGAAACACCAAAGTCATAGGGTGTGTTTTTTTATAAATTTGGTCCGAATCCTTTGAATGGATGGATTTCTGGTATCAGCGCTCACGCTAAGCAGTGCTTGTTGTGTGAGCCCTGACCCCCACCATCCGATCGCGCAGTTCCAGGCAACGGCAGAATTTAGTTGCGAAAGCTTTACGTGCCGCAATGCTCGGCACGGTCCGTCCTGCCCTCTGACGTCAACTGACCTTTAGCGTGACCGCTGCCACCGGCCGCAGGCCATACCTGCCAAGAGCAAATAGCGAGCGCCCTAAAGCGACTCGAACCCATCCCGCCACGGATGGGTGGGTCGGAATGCAGGTGCTCTAACCAAATGAGCCACCGGGACGGACGGACGGGTGGTGTTGACCCGTATGTGGACTCACTTAAATCAAAGTTTGAGGTTTCTAGATCATAAACTTCGGGTCAAATAAGGCAAATAAAGTCAAATTCCAGGTTGATCTCCAAAGGGTCATTAGATCCTAGATAACTGTTCTATGCAAAAGTTCAGCGCTCATTTAGGGTCAGTGTCCTTGTCCGAACTTTTGAAGGTCATGGTGACCAAAATCATACAAGACCGCTTTGAGTTTTGCATGTAAATAAGAGACTCAGATTACGCCAGGCGATATGTTCCTAAAACAAAGTGCCGACTTGAGTCATTTTGGGTCAGTGACTTATTGTGACCTTTAAGAAGTCCATGAAAGTGTATAATGCGGTTTCTACTATCAATGAAGTAGAAAGGGGCGCCAGAAACTATCCCATACAGCAAGCCCGACAGTCATAAAACAGGCTGGTTATGACCTTGGTCTGACCTTCACATATGTCCCTAGGTCAGAGTAATCTGCTCATTCAAATGTTGTGTTGCCTGAGAAAGTATCTCAGAGATGTATGGCTTCGTCTAACACTTTTTTGTTTGATTACATTGAACGATTGCCTAGAAATTGCCTTCGCTGAAACCATGGCCTGACTAGGGCTTGCCATAGGTCAGTAACCGTACGAGGCACATCTACATTTGTTGTGTCAGACGATTTGCTATTCCATCGTCTACAGCAATGCAAAATTTGGCGCAGCTACGCCGCGCCGTTCGAAAACCATTTCGGAAAGATACCTTGGGGGGGGGGGGCAATTTGACCCACACCCGAGCACGTGTTAAGTGATACCCCGACAATAAGGTGCGAAATACATTTAAATAGCAGCAAATGAACACGGCCTGGGTAGCACGTGCACAATCCAAAACGCTACTCCGAGCGAGCTCACCATCGTTGTAATCCTATCATCATTACCACATTTTTAGAGAATTATCGCCTCACTAGTGCTGCACAGAACTGGGTCACCCTCATCTTCGATATGATGCTGAGAAACCACCATGTATCATCCAGAGAATTTTGGTTCATCTGAACAATACCCATATGAAAGGATTCTAGGAACGTTTCTGCAGGTCCCTCATAGTTACTGTCATATTTAACAAAGTTCTTTTTAACAAGTTTCATAGTTACCCTGGCGCAGTAACCATAGCAAAATATTTCACGATAATTTTCCGCGTGATCTTCGGATTCAAAACTTAAGATCTCACATGTAAACGATAAGTCCACGCCAGCAGCTTTTCATTTCGTCATTGCACGTTACAGCATAAAATTAGACGGCAATGCCTGAGTGAGGCCATGCATGCTGCCGTAAATTTATCACGCGCCAGTTCATGTCACATAAACTGATCTCTAGGACGGAACAAATTCGCAATACACGTCACAATGCATCGGGGCAAAGCATGATAACAGCCCTTTGAGTCGCGAAACACGCGATGACATCGGGGTATTTCAAAATAAGATTTCACATGGCTAAATAAATTGTCATGTTGGCCCAGTAACTCCAAGAAACCCTGGCCACATCGCTGGCGAGTGTCCAGGGGCAACAATGCGCGCTCATGCCCGTGTCCCGCGGCCTGTGCACTGCTTGGTACTTGGCATAGTACTCTTCTCAGTCCACTCACAGTGGACCAAGTTCAAGGAATTTAGAAAACTTCTGCACTGACCAGCATTGAGCGTCAATCATGGATTCGGCTGTATTTAATGTTAGGTACCCATGTTTGCTTCCAGATAACGGTAAGTAAGATGCCAGTAAGAATGATTATC